CTTCTTATGTTCTTAAGTAGGATCCTGCTATGTAATTTTGCATCGTTTAATGTGTCATGTTAACACTTATTGCTTTGCTTCAATTCTGTTTTTAGATTTCTCATTGTTTCCAGAATTCTACAATCCTAATTCTATTGCACTGTTTATTGAATGTCCCGTCCTGTCGACTTAAGGTTGCCAAGTCTTACCTGCTGCTGGAGCGGGGGGCTCCCGGCTTGTTCCTGGAGCGCGCGCGCAGCAACCCCGTCACCCGGAAGTGACGCGACTACGCCGGGCATGCTGGGGGCGGGGCCACGACCATCCGAGGGAAAACCATAGAGTTTTCCCTCGGATGACCGTGGCCCCGCCCCCAGCATGCCTGGCGTGGTCGCGTTACTTACGGGTGACTTGCACGTCGCGTACTTTGGGGGTGGGGTTCTCCCCGGGGCCCGATCCGACGGGGAACGGGCCTCTGGGGATGGGTTTTCCCTGCCCCCCGGGGGGACTTGGCAAGCCTATGTCAACTGTATTGACTCCCTCTGTGTAACTTGCCTTGAGTCCCAGAGAGAAAGGTGGACTATAAATAATGTACATAAATAAATGAGGGTAAAATTCTCCACGAACTTTTAACTATAATCCACGTATAAAGACAGAGTATTGTAGCATAGTGGACGGGAGCCAGACATTTCTGCCTTCCTCCCACCCCCAAACAGGCAATGTGGAATTACAAGTTGGAAACACTCCTGCACACATGGAGGAAGAGAGAAGCTCCATTTCTTACTGTTTCTCTGTACACAAACACACTCTCTCTACACAAACAAAAAGAGAAAGGGGAGAAAGAAATATGGCTCGCTGTTTTAAGCCCTGTTGCTAATTGACAACTGTTTTCATAATTGTTTTCATGCTCGTTTTGTTCATACATTTTTTTCTGTTGGTCTTGATTTGTTTTATTGACTATGGTTAAATTGCTTTTCATCATGGTTAGCCAAAAATACATATATATATGACAGATATTGAAGAGTCAGACTCGGATCCTTGCCCTATTGTTTGAGGCACTAGATCTATGTAACTGTAATCATGGGTCTCTGATGTACATAGCTTTGCTTGTTACTATCTCTTGTAGTGCTTCTGCTATTTCCATTATCATGTCTATTGTTTCCATATTCCATATAGCACCTGCTGGCATGTTATCAATCTGTCTGCAAGGTTCCCCCTCTGCCATTCTTGATAGGGGAGGACTGAGACATGTCTGAATGAGAGTAGATAGTTGTGCTATGTAACACTAATCAAATGAACCTCCTCCAGAGGCCAGTGGAAGCTTTCGCTTTTCAACCATCTCACGGCCTTCGAGAAAGTCTTCGAGAATGATAAACATTCTCACCATTATAATTGTCTTGCATTACTGCACCTGATTACTATGTAATGCTGGCGTATGTATGTGGGCTGAACCAAAGTTCTTGTAGTTTCCAACTTTGCAATATTCTTTAGTTCTGGCAAAAGAGTTCAACTTGAATGCAACTTTTCTGACTTCTAAAAATAAAGCCTGCTTAAAAGGACTTATTTTGTCTGAGAGTTACTATGCGAGCTGACACCATGTTCCCACACTTCCAACAGCAGAGGTAGACTATTTCCAAGTTGAAGTCCATATTCCCCCCCCCAAAAAAAAAAAGTTTAGAATGTGTAAGAGTAGGGACTGGCAACCTTCAGGGACATCTACTGCCTGTGATTCAATCTGAGCATGACTCCCCCTGGGAGGAGGTAAGCTCTGAGCAGTGAATCATGCAAAGATGCATCAGGCAGTCACAGAAGAAAGGCAGCCAGTTTCAACAAGCACCAACGTCCCTTCAAAAGCCCGAGGAAGCAGAATCCAAAGGAGAGAAGGTACCAAGTCGCTCACACAGCTTTGTACTGTATGTCCCCATACAACTTATGGTAACAAAAGTCTTGTGTGGTGGTGTCGTGTTTAGAAGAAGAAGAAGAGAAGATATTGGATTTATACCCCGCCCTTCACTTGGAGTCTCAGAGCAGCTTACAAACTCCTTTCCCTTCCCCTCCCCACAACAGACACCCTGTGAGGTGGGTGGGGCTGAGAGAACTCTGACACAAATTGCTCTTTTTCAAGGACAGCTGTGCCAGAGCTTGTGACTGACCCAAGGTCACATCAGCAGGTGCAAGTGGAGGAGTGGGGAATCAAACCCGGTTTTCTCAGATTAGAGACCGCGCACTTAACCACTACACTAGACTGGCTCTCTTCAGAGGGCAGGTGATCCTGTTGTGCCTCTGTGCTTGTAAGAGACTGAATAAATGAATCACACAAGGTACGCAAAAATGATTCCCTCATCAGAAGCAAGGTGGTGAATGCGGAGGAGTACAACATATAGAGGCTCAATGGGCCTCTGACGGGGAGTGATTTGGGTTCAACGGAGGTCTTTAATTGCTTAAGTTTTGTTCTTTCTCCCATAATACCAGAACTCAGGCTGACTCAGTGAAGCTGATGGACAGCAGAACAGACAATAAGGGAGGCCTCTTCAGACATCTTGCAGAATTCACTGCCATAGTGAGAAACCTGTGGGAGAACACTTTAACCTTCCAGGACATTCAATGGATGACCTCAAAGTAGCTATCTTATTACAAAGGAACTTCAGGAACAGAATGGAAAGGGAAATTGCTGAATTACACGTTATTACAACACTTGGAACCAAAGCCTCCCCAGGACTCAACAGGGATACTAGATTTTTATCCCATTACATATGCTAATTCATTCAGTCCTCACATATGTCTTCTCAACAAGGACTATAAATCCTCTGTATTTTAGTGTATTTCCTTTTCAGAATAATATATTAGAACAGAGGTCATTTCGGGGAGGATCGCCCCCTGCTTCCAGCTGCCCTGCTTCCGGCCCTCATTCAGCCAGGAGGAGGCAGGAAAAGAGTTGCTTCCTCCCTGCCTCTCCCCACCCTTGCCTGCCTGGGGCCAGGGAGGGCCTTCGCGGGGCTTCCTTGCACTCCCGCCGGCCTTGCAGGTCCACCGCTGGGCCCCTCATGGGGCTCGGCAGTGGAGCTGCAAGGCCGGCACCGGCAGCCGGGACCGTTGGGGGCGGTGTGTGTGGCCTTA